AAAACCTTGTAACTCGGGTGCGTTACGTTTAACAACGAGATTGAAAGGATTTCTCCCATCTCAGTTTTCTTTGAAGCTCAAATGTAAAATACATAATGAAGATCACTTTTCTTAAATGAAAATACATGACTTCAGTATGTAAAAAAAAATTCCAACATGTTACTGCTTTGACTGAACAATCAGAACAACTGTCCTCTGCTAAACAAACCTTGTCCTGGGTTAGAGCAGCATGCGTACAATAGTTGGGACATGCAGCATGGTTTGGTTACAGAACTAGAAACAGGTACAGTTCTAGCAGTTGCCATTACAAAAAAATGCAGAAAAAGAGAAGAAGGGAACATTAGCACCAGCTAGACTTTTTTGTGTGTTGGCAACAGACACCCATTTTCTGTGCTAATAGGAGGTGTCTGTGGAAGAGATAGTGGTGACCTGCTGGCAGGTGCTCAAGCTGTGTATTTAACAACAAGGGCATTTCAGAGCCATTGCTAGCCTGGCTTTGGGTAGGGTTAGCTGGGGGAATGGGCATGCAGGAGTGCCCAGTTCCCTGCATGCACAGCAAGGAGCTGTGCAGGGCATGTTGGTGATGGAGAGTGGTGGGGAACAAGGGCACAGGGACCCCTCTCACCATGGCAGAGGTGTTCTGGGGGCTGTGCCCCAGTCCAGGCTCTGCTTGGCCCAAGGTACAGCAGCTTTAACATGAAGCCCTTATACACTGTCACAGCATTTCCACAGCGTTCTCGACTGCGTGGGACAGCTCTGGGATTCCAGGCTGTCTGCTGCTCCTCCATAATTTTGTGAGCATGTTTGCTATTTTTGGAGTGCAAATCTCTCAGTAACTTCCTGGCCCCTGGCACTAGATGGAGCTTCAATCTACTTGCACTTGGAAGTCGTTAAGTTTAACCACAAGTTAAAAATAGGGAAGAATAAATGAAGATATGCATGCCTGCTGCTACACTTACAGTGCCTCTTTCCCTGTTTGTTAGCAGAGTGGTGTAAATTATAATGTAAATTTAATTTAAATGAAAATTAAAATATTGCAGGAGAATCTCCTTGATCTAGTACATGCTTTATAATCACTAGCACCCTTTAATGTACTCTCAGGCCCATGGCAGAAATTGCTGTAACTTAGATATGCTGGAAATGTGCTGCATATTAAAGCTAATGCCTAGGCTGTGCAGAATAGAGGTAATGCCATTTCTGAACAAAGTACCTGGTTATATTTCAGGATGCATGTGGGTGACCACCACTTCTGTTTGCTGTGTTCTTGCAAGAATTCATTTGCATTTTCCCTTCGTGCTACCAAAGCCAACAATTCAGAATCATCTGTTGTCAGTCACTTCATTTTCCCTCCGTGTGTTACCCTTAGAAATATTGAACAAATGGAAAGAAATCAGAAAAAAAGCTTTGAAAATGCAGTGTTTGATACTTTTCATTTAGCAAGCACTGTATCTCGCAGGCCACATGCGCGTATCAGAAATTTAAGACCATCTCTGCCTTCCACAGAAGTAACTGGAAGTAGATTTAGTTTTATTCTTGTGTGCCCATGTTCTTATCAGCAAGAGACTGGTTCAGTTAAACCCCTTGTCCAGGCACTGAAGTAGTAGTAAGAAAAGAAACAGAAGTTGGGAACTGAAATGGTGACACTTGTAAGAGATTTTGTCATTAAAGCACTGAATACTGTTTGTTGCTTCTCTGCAAAGTCTGACCTTGAATTTGAGTCTTCTTCCAGCCCTGTCTTTGCAGAGGCTTTGTGCTGACCAGTGGGAGGACAGGGACAGGTGGGGTGCCCGGGAAGCCTCAGCATGACAGGCAGCATTTGTGGGGTGCTGTTAGACATGACCTGCAGAGAAATTGTCATTGTGTTCTCTTCTTACCTGCTTTTTGACAGATAAAGAAAGCTTTGCTTGTTTCTTTAAATAATTCTGTTATTTATCTCAGGAATGCCTGTGATGCTAACTCTGGGACATAAGAGGAAGGTCTTTGAAATCTCACACCCAAACTTTACAGGCTGATTCTATCATTTACCATTGCACTGGCTCTGACACCACGCAGCCTTCCAGGGAAGTAGGGCTTTGATTTCTGTCATTAAAAAAAAAATTTATTAATTTAAAAAAGAAACATGTTCAACCATTTTGGTTCATCTTGATTTCTCTTCAGTGAGCAAATGAGAGTGCGAGCCAAAATCTTTGGTCTCTATCACAGGTGAATACTAATAGGTAAGCAGGCAGTAATTTTTTCACATTGCTCCTCTCTGGGAGAGACAAAACCACTCCTTGAACAAGAGAGGCTTAGGCAGGACATAGGCACTGGGCTGCCCTGCAGTGGTGGGACTGATGTACTTCCCAGTGTGTTCAGATCCTTTTCTGGGTCTCTGGAGACTGTAGTTTCAGAAATGCAGACACTTGGGAGTACAGAAGCCGGTGAGCAGGAATGGTGGAGCTCTGAGTTCTGAGGTGGCTGGACCCTTCTGCAGGCTGTTGTGAGGAAGAGGACATTTGCCAGAGCAGGAATTGGACTCGAAAGCTGCCCTGGTCTTCTGGCCTCCAATGGCTCTTCTCTGTATGTCCTCCCAGGTCACAGACCTGTGCTTGAGCTGGTTCCAGAATGGCTGGCATGGAGCATGGGAAGCCTGTGCTGTTGGTACTCCCAACCCATGTTTCTTCTTGCCTACAGCCCTTGAATGCAGCCTCCCAATGCTGCCCAGGCTGGCCCTACTGGGTGCTGGCATCCCAGTGCCATGGTGACCCACAGACACACAGGTAACCCCCTGGCATGGCTCACGTGCTCTGGGCACACGAGGTGGGAACTGCTTTTCTTCAAACGCTGCATCGGTGCACAAAGCGAAGGCTCAGTGTTAATCCCCCTGGGGAGCTGCCATAGGAGCTGCCTGTTGGGACTGTGGCACTGCAATTAGAAACAGGTAATTAGTGAGGGAGCACAGTGGCTCTGCTCTGGCACCCTGGGAGTACATGTTCCCTTGGGAAGTGAGCAGAGCTGAGCCTGAGCATGAGCTGTGGTTTGGGTGGAGGCAGGAGCTGGAGGACTGGCTGTGGACACTGCTGGTTCCTGTTCCTGGCCCAAGCAGAGCATGGGTTAGTGACCAAGGCAGGAGTCCGAGGAGATGCCTTGTGGGAGAGGGACAGGGCCCTGTGTGTGCTGTGTCCTGCTGCCACTGTCCTTTCCCTCCTCTCAGAGAGGCTCCATTGTGCTCCTGCCCGATAAACACACAGGATGGAGCCGCAGCAGCAGCAGTGAGGTGCCCCAGCAGTGCCTCGGAGCACAGCAGCTCTCCTCAGAAAGAGGGAACCATCCAAAGGCAGGGACAGCCACCGCTCTGTGAACAGCAAACCGAGTGACCTAATTCAGCTCTGGCGGGCGGCCCTCAGCTGCTCCATGGCGGCCGTGCTGGAGCTGACTCATCACTTCCAGCGTGGCAGAGATTGGAGCTTTCAGGCCCTAAGGATTTTGCTCCTTCCTTATTAATTTTAAATTGATTAAAGTGAATTTTTAAAATACCAGGAGACACTTGCTTAAAGGAATGGTTATTAAAAAAAAGAAGGAAGTAGTTGGTCTGTGGGAGTTAACTCTGTGCTTAACGACCTCTGGCTCCTGCAGCTGTAAACACCCATTGCAGCTTGGAGGAGTCTTATGTCAGCTGTTCTGTCATGGCAGATTAGCAAGGACAGGATTAATCCATCTTTATTATAAAAAAGTGAGAATTATAAACGTACTTGCTTATACCCAGACACCCCCTGGTGTCCTCATCCATGGCAGGGTGGTATTACAGGCTTCTGCTCTCAGCTACATGACTTTGTCTAGAAGTTGAGATCTCCCAGAGAAGTGCATCTCTGCAGGAGCATCCTGTTCTTTCCAGCATTGCTCAGTGCCTGACAAAGCTCCTCTTATGGTCCCGAGCCCCCCTGGGGTGGCCTGTGGGCTGTCTGTGCTAGAACGGGCTGCCAGTCCCCTGCTTGGCTTCCCACAGAGGTTGCCACAGCCAGCGTGGGCAGGACAGATGGATGGAGGATCCTTCCTCTCGCTGTCAGAGGGCAGTTCTGGACGAGCTTCTCCCCTGGGCCGTTCTCACCTGCTGTGCCTGCCCCAGCTCTGCCAGGGGGAATTCCCTTACACTGTGGAGCAGGAGGATTTTTGTCCCGAGTGGTTTGCGGTGTAATTGCACAACTCAGGCTTATGCAGATAGGTGAGGCTTTTCCCTTCTGCCTGCCCTCTTTCCCACTAGTGGGAGGTGGATGCAGCCCAGCAGCCAGCCAGCAGCCCAGGAGTGCCCATGGACCCACTAAGCCAGTGCCACTAAGGACCCTTCTGTGCTGTGGTGGGCTACAGAGATGTAGGAACCCCCTTCCTGCAGGCTGCAGAAGCAAGGTCAGAGCTCTCTCCCCATGGGTATTTCTCCCTGAGAGCTCATCCTGGGGCTACCCCCTGTCAGCATCCCACCTGCTGCTCTGGAGGGAGCCAGGGCTGTGCCTGCAGGGTGCACAGGGTTGGCCCTGGCTCACTGGCAGGGATAGTGCTCCATTACAGTGAACGGCAGGGCTAGCTCAGGCAGCATAAACAGTAGATTAATTGATAAAGCTTTTTGTCCTGCAAGCAAACACCAACAAATTAAAAATTTAAAAAAAAAAAAGGAAGGTGGAAAACTGTGGTACTTCAGAGAAGACAGAGCAGGAAGCCAAGAGGAGTGAAGGAGCAGAATATGGAATTCACTTGGAGATAATGAAGCAGCAGAAGTTGTCAGCCCCTTTTATGTCTGTCTAAAAAAAAGAGGCCTTTTATTTCAGTGAAACGGAAGAATGAAAATTAAAAAGCTAAACAAAGCAGAAAATTTCTGCAAAAATAATTTGACACTTGCTATTGATTGAAGGAATGGAGCAGCAGAGTTTAACAAGTTGCATAAAAGCACCTTTGGTCTGCTTTAAAAATCTCTAAAAGAAACAGTTATATCACTCATATGCTGCTCACCTGTCTCTTCTCATCTCTAGATCTCAAAAGTGGAACTGCTCTAACTTCACATGTTAAAGTAGAACCTACTTCTCCTGCCTCTGCCTTGCACTGAGCATCCAGCCTTGCCCATGGTGCAGTACAGCAGATGCTGCTGTGGGAGAGCCTGGCTGGTGAGACAGTTCCTTCCTGCTCACCTCCTTGAGCATCGAGCTGTGTCAGCTGGGATGACTGGAGAAGCCCATCTCTTTCCCCGTCCTCTGAGACCAGGTAGGATGTGTTCCTTCTTAGGGCTTGATGTCCCAGTGTCAGCAGCAGCTTGGCCTGGGTTGTCCCCACTGCTGTGACATGCTCTCTGGGTACCTGGGAAGGGTGACAAAGGAGCAGTTTATGTTGTGTGGCGTTTGTACTGATGTTCTTTCATAGTGTGCTGGTTTTAACATGTTTCAACTTTTTTCCAACCAAGGTTCTTTCCAAATTAGTGAATGATATGAACAAATCCTTTCTGTGCTCAGACAGACTCAGATATAGTGTTTTACTCGACTTAGAAAATTATGAATTTGGGTGGGAACACTGGCTTACAGAATGTTCTTGCTTCATTCATTTTGTCAGTTGCAGTTTTAGTTTTAATTATTTATAACACTTCATAATGTACTAGTTCAATTACAGTAGCATATTTCGATAGAATAACAAAATTAGTGACATTAGAGTTACTGCAACACTTGCTGTTTACCCTTTGCTGAGTAATATTCACATTAATTATGCGCATATTAGAATGGCTTTAAAATATATATAGCCTCAGCTGGAGGGTTTAGGGTGTTTTAGACATGCTTGTTCTTCATGTAGTTAAAAATAGTGTCCTCTAAGACCTGATCCTAAAGTAGTACATGAAATCAGTGCCTATTCATGGAAGGCAGGTTCTGGCAATGTGAAATCATTTCAGTTTCTGTAGGACCAGGCCTCAGCCAGCAGACATTAAAGAGTGTGTTTCACTGTTTTAAGGGCAATATTCTTGTATAAGGTTATTTTATTCCTATTTCTTTTTAGATAAAAGCACCCAACAAGCCTGCTTTCTTGGTCCTATATGAGCTGCTGCAGAATCTGTTTAAGCTCTGCTGCTGTTGATGAGAACATGGGTGTAGGGGTTGGAGAAGTTCTGGCCTTGTGTGCATAAAACACGACTGACAAAACAAAATGCTGTCATATTCACAAGGCAAACGGACTTGAAAATAGAGAAAATATTTCTCACATTTTTTTAAATTTTATCACTCAGCTGTGCTATTTCTAGTACTAGCAGACATAACATTTTGCAGAAAGAAATGTGACATCTATTCAGCTGGCAGCATTAGGTTTCCCTATACTGATACCATGTCTTGCCAACAATGCTGTCCTGTGGTGGGAATTGTGTGCAGTTACCTACAGGACAACTGGCTGTCTTCATTATGCATTTCCATTTTTTTGAGCTGGAGATAAGACATGCCCAGCTATGCCAAGAATTAAAACAACCCAACAAGTCCATTCTTGTTCGGTGAAAGTGCTGCTCATGTTCTCAGAGCAAAGCAATTATGTTCTCTCTATTGTCACAGGTTCTGCTATTTAGTGGTAATAGATGTTAAGCATCAAAAAACCCACAACAAACAAAACCCAACAGAGGATGGTCTGCCTGGCAAGTGACCTACCTTACTCCCTATTTTGCTTCTTTTAGCCCCAGGCTAAGGGTGCTACTTCTGAAATGAGTGATGCATGCCCTCCAGCTCTACCTGCAGCCTAACTGAGGGTTTGATTTTCCTGCTCACCCGTAATCCATGCCTCCTTCTGTCCCTGTGCTGCTGCATCACAGCCAGAGCTGTCTGGAGGAACAGACTACAAGGGGTTCTGCCCTCAGAATGCAGCCCTTACGCCTCAAAACCTAGTGCCCATTGTGGGCATGACCCTTCCCAAGAAAACTTGAGAGACACACAGTATGCATTTGTGCAAGTCTCCAAGAATCCATGTCCAGGGCAACCTTTGGCCCATGGTGTTTTATGACAACCAACTTGTAAATAATTTTGCTTTTAAACAGAAAGGTTTGGGGAAATCAAAGATTCTCTTGTTAAGGAGAAATCTGCAACACTTATTTGAGCAAACCATTCAGCATGAACTTAGGCAGGACTTGGTTAATCCATGCTGGGAGATGCAGAGTCCTTCAGTGGCAGCTGGTTTCTCACATTTCTTTGAGAATGTGTATGTGTATTGCAGAAAGGCAGAAAGTCACTGAAAGAATTCTTCTCTTCTTTTGTTTGCTTCTAATTTGCTAGTAAGGAAATCTCATCAGGAGCAACACCCACGTGCAGGTACCAAGCCCCTGCTGCACCTGAATTCAATTGATGCAAAGAAGCTGAATTTAAAATATGCTCCAGAACAAAGCAAGGCCAGCTGGAGGATTTCCTGCAGGAGAAAGGAAAAGTCTGGGGAGGCAGTGGGCTGGAATGCTGAGCTGTGACACATTCCTGCTGGCTGTAAGTAGTGTATCTGGGAGGAAGGGAATGGGAATGTCTTCATTTGGTCATTTGGACTGGTGAACTCTTCCAGTTAATGCTTTTTTTTTATCTAGCATTCAAAATGTTGGGTTTTTTTAAATTTCTTTACGTCTGTTAAAAATATCTGTGTGTGTGTATATATATATATATATGGGGTGAGATTGAGTAAGTATTGATTATAAGAGGCTTCAGAAATACAGTGTGTCTGTCTCTGAGCCCAGAGAAGCACTAGAAGATACAGAAAACCGTGTTGGGTGGCTCTGAGCCAGGTGCCTCCTGGCTGTTTGACTTGAGGAAGGCTTTGGTTGGTCATGCTGGTGCCCTTGGGCTCTCCCCGCTGTGCTGGGAGTGGGGCCGGGGCTGTGGCTGGGAGGAAGAGGGGGAGAGGAAGGGTGGGCTTGGGGAAACGACCCTGAATGTCCCAGTAAAGTGGCTGGAGGAGCCAAAGGTGGCTGCAGAGGCTCTCGGCAGGAGCTCTGGGTGTCCTGCTGGTGGGCACGTGTGTGGCACTGTGCTGCCACTTCCCCTTTTATCCGGGCCTTGCCTCGTCCCCTGTGCCAGCCCTGGAGGCTGAGGGTGCCTCCCCACAGTGTCACAGGGAGCCAGCCCCGCGGTGTCTGCCCCATGCAGCTCCTGCGCTCTGTCATCACCGGATGGCAGTGGCACTCACAGCTTCATGAAACACCTTGTTGGTTTGACTGTTTCAGACTTTTAAAGTTGCTAGTATTTCCTTTACCAGGCACTAATAAAAAAAAGCCTATTTGAGTCAAGTAAAAATGCATTTAATTCAGTCCTTCTCTTGCAGTCTCAATCTTATCATACCTCTAATTTTAACGTAGGCTGAGTCATTTTCATCCTACTGCTTTAAAATCAGGCTGTGGAGCATGGTCTTGTTATGCTATGTTTGGGAAGTAGAATGAATGCTTTTTCTCTCTCTTAGTCAGATCTATGCTGCCAAGCTTTTATCATTTGGTGCTCTTGGATATAAAAATAACGTAGCCAGGGATGATTTGCAGAGTTAGTTTTATTACTGTAAGCAAAATTGAAACATAAAGGATGCCAGTGTACATTATGCAGATTGATTTATAAAAATAAATTAAATGGAAAGTATTAGTACAATGGAAATAATTAACCTTGTTCTGACATAATTCCTTGGGGCAGAGCTTGCATTGTGTGTGCAGTACAGTTGTTCTGCAGTACTTGCTCTCTGGGTTTTGTTTCTCCGTGGCTTGCTGGTTCCTTGTCTGCCAAACCCTCTGCTGAGGCTGCAGCGGTTAATATTTTTCTAAATAAAGCACTATCTGGTTCCCTGTTCTTGAAACTACCTGATTTGTTTTTCACAAATCTAAATACTTCCATGTGAGACAGACTCTTGGCATGGCAAATGCAGGTGGAACAGTTGTGGCCTGGCAGTGCTATAAACCCCAGAAACAGTGTGAGGCGAAGCCCTGGCAGCAGGTAGGGCTGTTCCAAACACTGTATCTACCCCTGTACCCATGGGGAGAGAGCAGAAATACAAGGGGAACACCACGGTATGTTTGTGATTGTAGCAGGTGAGAAATATTGCACCCCTGGGTCCAGCAGGAGCATGAGAAAATTAGAAAACTGCGGAAAGTGGCATAAATCCAAGACTGAACAAGCTTGATCTGTTTATATACAAGATCTGGTTGTGAATCTGGATTGATTCGATTTTGCTTCTTCATATGAATTTGAATTGTAAAACAGTGGCTGATTTTTATTATTTTTACTTTGAGTTAATTTGGATCTGCATCTTGGCGACAACCTGGGTCTTTGGACAGCGTAGTCTGTAACAGAAATGAATAAGAATGCATTACACCAGCTGATGTAGAGTTATTTCACCTCTTAGTATGGAGAAAGTCCCAGTGCTGCCACTCCACCTGGCAGTGGAGTCATCCTGCCCTGCCACTGGGCTGTGCTGACAGAGGGAGGAAGTTGCAAGCAGTGAGAATAGTGTTTCTAAAAAGATGCATTGTTCTTCTGAGCTTTTACAAATCCATTTGAGTCCTACAGGTGCAAAAAAAGTTGGAGCACGAAGGTTTGGGTTATGGGGGACCAGGAGACTGGAGGGAGGGAGTAGGTGTCTTTTAAATCAGTGAAATATGGTGCAAAGTCAGGTCCCCTCTGAAGCAGGATTGGTAATACCTCAGCTGTTCTGATGGCTCTTCACCCGCTTTCTTCTTTAAATCAGCTCCTGATGTCATTCCATGGTCTGTTCCAGCACTACCTGTAGAAACTCAGCCTACATCTTCATTCCCCAAAAGTAGCCTGTTACTCCTTGATCTGTTCCGGGAAGAAGAAACCTGGATTGCTGCCTGCAAAGGGATCTGTTATGCCCACTCAGCTTTCTCCTTCTAGACTAAACAAATCCCATTCTCCCCGTTTCTCACAGAACTGAAGGACAACTGAGGCTGGGACTTCAAGAAATCCTTTAGTCCAGCTCTTCTTGTCAAAGCATGCTCCCAGTTCCCCCAGCCTCTCCCTGTATGCCAAGTGCTTCTATCCTTTCATCATCCTCGTGCCTCCTCATTACTCTCCAGCATGTCCAAGTCTCTCTGGTATTAAGTGATGTTTAATACTGGCAAATCTTGAGATTATACCAGTCCCTATCTGGCTCCCCAGCAGAGCACTGTAGACAAATCCTGTTCCTTCCCAGTTTCTGCAGGGTGTTTTTGTTAGTGAAATGTTCTGTAAGTCACTTCAATCTCTGCATTAACTCTTATGTAAGCTTTTCCCTGGCTGGTGACTGTGAAATGAGATGCCATGAACTGCAACTGAACAATGAAAAATAGGACTTTTTCTCTTCCTGGTACCAGCAGTTTGGTCACTTCAATGTCCCTTCATGAATATGAACTTTAAAAAGTAGAATTACAGATTTCAGAGGTAGAAGATTAAAAGATTTAGGAAATCCTAGGAAAAAATCTCCAGCTTCTGGCTGAATAGGTTGGAATCCATGTGTAGATAGAGAACTAACAGCCAAGGTTACTGTGGGATTGCAGGAACCACAGCATGTGCTTGTCAAGGAGACTGCTCTAAATGGGAGAGCAAAACTAAAACTGGGTTTGTGTGTGGTGGCAAGAATTGGGTGTGTGAGCCAGAAGTGTTTGAGCCCTCATCTCAGCCTCTCCTTTGCTCATTGATCTTCACCAGAAGCCTTCACTCCAAGGTTAAGTCTTCTGGTGGAGTGTTTGGCAGAGGAGTGAGCTACCTTGCACCCAGTGCCAAGGACAGCAGTGCAGAGATTTTCTGTGCTGTAGGGTCGTGCTGTAGCTGACTGTGGCAGCTGCTTCAGGCAGGCTGGCCCCAAAACCTATACCAGGTCCCTGGCATGTCCCTGCTCTGTGCCAGGAGCAGGATCCTGTCAGGCATGTCAGCCCAGTGGCACAAATTTTTTTCTGTACATTAGGTTTTGTGTAATCTGTGCAGCTTTGGGGCTTTATAAACAGGTTTTTTGGCAATGAAGAGAGATTGCGGTGATGGAACCGCTGTAATATGTGACTGTGAGGCACACAAAGCCCTCTGGAGAAGCAGGAGAGGACTTCAGTCTGGGTGAGGTACAGAATTACCCTGAGTTTATCAAAATGGTGTTAATCATGCAATTGATTTGTGGGAGAAGGTGTCCAGTAACAGGGTGTTTGGTGACTGATCAAGGGGTGAAATGAAGATCTGCAGCTGTTTGGGGGCAGAGTAGGGAGACAGAGTCATTGACATGTGCTCCCATGGGATTAACGTGGCAAACAGAGAGAAAACACTAGTAATGATTGGTATTCAAAAGCAGCTAATCTAGTCACTTGGAAAGTGCCAGTTTGTGTCCTTGCCTTCAGACAGGGTTTATTTTCCTATCTGTAAAATGAGAATGACAGTCCCTGCTCAGCAGCCTTGCTGTGCCATGTGTTAGCAGTCATGGCTGCTGTCACTGTCTGGAGTGGCTTGTCACTGTTCCTTTCCTTGGAATAGCAGTATTTCTGCTCAGCAAAGGCACAGCTAACCTAGAAGTAAAGGAGTGAAATCAGCAAGTGTGAGATTGTGTGGTGCACAGAAAGAGGAGGCAGCTTGTTCCAATAAAGCATGTGGTGGCATGTTGAGGTGGAGCTGTGAAACCAGGCTGCAGGATGTAATCTAGGATCTGCCTGAGCTTTGTATGTGATAATCAGAGAGTGACTGTTCTCTGCTGCCATGGCTGGCAGTATTTTGGAAAAGGGCTTTGTCACAAACATGCATAACTGATAACAATGGATTCGTGAATGTAAATAAAAACCAACCCCCCACCCCAGAACACAGCAGATGATGACTCTGTTTTCTCTTCTGTGGAAACTCTCATTTATTGCAGTGGAGGCTGAGGCCTACATTCCAGGCAGAGCAGTGTCACAGACCCATAAAATCGTTTACGTAGGAAAAGGCCTCTAAGATCAAATAGGCAGTTTCCAGGTGTGGTCTGCAGTGTTTTGATCCTGAAGCGTTGATGTGGGGCTAAGCTGTGAGGAATGAAATCCTGTGGCAGCACTAATGGCTCCCTGAGGTCACCCAGAGCTGGATCTTGGCTTCGGGCAGCAACCGAAGCGATCCTGTGCAACTGGACAGGAGCTGGGAGTGAGTGGTGCCTGTTGCTCGATGGGGATGGCTCAGGCTTGGCCATCGTTACAAACTGTCAGTCGTGAAGGAGCCCTCGGCCGCAGGGACCCGCCCAGCACCGCACGGCCCAGGAGCGGGTTCCAGCTTCCGTGGGGTGCCTCCTTAGGGAGGCTGGTGCTCGCCTCTGGCAGAGGGACGGCTGCAGGGTGTGCCGGATCGTGACGTGCTGTGTGCGCGGAGTTCAGTGACACCCCGGTGACGAGGCGGCCCCGCCGTGCCCTGGGCCCCCCGAGCCGCCGGCAGCGCCCAGCGGGGCTTTGGCCGCGCCGAGCGGGGCTCCCCAGCTCCGGGTCTGTGCCCTGTGCTGTTACCGGGCGGAGCTGCATCCTCAGCGCTGCTGCACAGCTCGGATCCCGCCACAGGGGCTGTCCGTGGGAGCGTTCTGTAACCAGCTCCACACCAAACAGTGCTCCCCTCCTCACCCTCCCTTGCAGGGGCGTTGTGGGGCTCATTCTCATGAGGTATAGCAGCGTTCAGGCACAGGCGTTCCATTACAGTAACATCTGCTTCATCCAATGCCCAGAGGGATAAAATAACTGTAAGGGGATGCTGCTTCTTTTTTAACACTTTGTCTTTTACCACTCGGGTAAGAGCCTTTGTTCCAAACACAGTCCAAGCTGCCTTTGAAATCAGCGCTGTGATTGCACCCTCGTGCACTGCGTTATTTCCTTTCTTTTTCAGACAGTCTCATTCTGTTCCTCCCCTTACTAAGGCGGGCAAGCCCCGGGGTGTTCGCAGCGCTGCGGTGTGACAGCGGCAGCCCGGGAAGGCGATCCATGCGGTGATCCCGGCGCTCCATGCGGGGATTGAGTCACTCACACAAGGTTACGCGAATCGCTGGCGCCGCCAGGAATAGCACCCGGAGCCTCCCGGCTCTCTCGAGCCCACCCTCGGTACTCCAGCCCGAATTCCCCGGGTGAGCATGATGTGATTCATAATGCAGCAGCTCTGCTGGGAGGCTGGCTACCTCTGCCATCCCGCTGCGACTGCAGAGCAAAGCAGCCGGGCTCAGACAGCAACAGGGACTGCACATGCTTGTAGCAAAACATCTAAACCCCACCAATGGTATTTAGCAGCTTATCTACAGATAAAATGTACCGAACGGTTAAAAATAGGTTTTAAGATTCTTGGCATACATCTTGAACTTTATATTCTTTGGGGTTTGCTGCAGTACAAAAATACCATTTCAATTACTCTGATTCTTATTGGCTTTTACTGGTCTTTTTGTAAAAGTACCAAATTATCGATGGGTGTTTTTTGCTTTTAATTGTGCCTCTTGACTGCTAAACCTGTTCCTGCTATTTGCTTGCAGTATGTTTAGGCTATGTTTAGGCAAATGCAAATGTAAGTGGTTATTCAGTGCCTTTGGCGCTCTGAACAGAATGTACTGAACTCCTGGGGCTTGGTACAAAGCCTCGGCCTCCAGCACTAACAAAGCCTATGCAGGCAGCAGCTAAAATGTGAGAAATACCTGTGCTTGGCAGAGGGGATTTGGAGGATCTGGGAGGACAATGGATCATGTGCCTAGCTTTTGTCCTGTGGACTGGGTAAATGGAATAAGAGGACTCCTGCCCACATGCTGTTAGCTGAAGGTGCTCTGGAGGTCTGGCCATGCTCACCCTGTAGCGCTGGAGCTGGCTGGCTTCAACATGGGGCCTGTGGAGCCTTAACAGTGGGGAGTTTGCCAACGAGGTTCCTCACTGGCTGTATCAACAGTCAGCTCAGTGTGTTCCTGAAGCATAATGGAGGCTTTCCTTGGACAAACAGCACGGCGCTGGAAGTGAAGAGAGCCAGCACGGTGCCACTGCCTGCTGTGTGTCTATTGGCAGCAGCTCGGGATTTTTACAGCTGTTTTCCTTCTTACCCAGCCTATTTTAAGCTCTGATGGAATAAGGATGGCATTTGATCACAGTACTGGGCACAACTGCTTGGCTTTTATAACCCATGTTTTAAACCGGAGGTTTTTCCATGTGTGTTTGTGTCTTCAAATAACTTCAGGCTTGTGGCTTTAGACTTGGTGCTCTCTGCTGGCCTTTGCCGTGGCCTGACAAGAGAGATCCTGACTCACTCCAGTGGGTGCTGGTTACTGAGGTGAGAACCCCTCAAAGGAAGTGGAGAGTGATGATTGGGGGGCACAGAGAACAGAGCACTTCTGAGCCTCCATCCTGGGTCTAGGTCTCCTGATGGGAGTTGAAGATGTCTTTGTAACTCTGTCTCTTTATTTGTCATCTCTTCAGGTGTGCCTGTGTCTCCTGATCTTGGGTTTATTGAGCAGGTGGCACACTATGTAAAGACTTTAATATCTGGTGCTACAGGATAAATCTCTCCCATTGTGGCAGCGATCAGCTACTAATGCTGGGTCTAACACTGGTTTGGTGTTCCTGTGCCTGGAGCACACTGAATGAATGGCCTCCATCTGCCATGTCATGTACACATAAAACTGGTACTCTGTGTTTTACTCTCAGGTCTGAGACTTCTTCAAGCAATATGTCCTGCAAGGTCGGTTCCACACTTTTCAGTGGTGCATTTGTGGTTACAGTGAAACTTAGTCTTGTGTCACTTGTTTCAGTGCTGTGCAGAGCGAAGCAGCAGGCTTGCTGCTTCCTGCAAGTAACTGCAGCCAGGAGATGGAAGTTTGCCATCTGGGAGGAAAACCAGGAATGTCATTAACAGGAAGTCGGGAGAAAAGGAAAAGGAACCTCTTGGTGGAGAGAGGGACAGTACAGAGAGGAGGAGAGGCAGGGACCAGGATGCCTGTCATAGGTGTCTTTTGTCTCCTTATGTCATAATCTGAGAAAGTCTGGAAGCCAAATCACCAAAGCTGCTTTCCTTTGAGTGGAAAGGAAATCTATGGGACATCCCTGCTTTATTCTGTATGAGTGCTTTCTAAGGCCTATGTAGATAACTGATATCCTTAAAACAAACACGCATTAGTTGTCATTTGAAATTACATTTCTGCCTGTCTATTTTCCTGCTTTCCTGTTTTGATGACCAAGTTTTTATAAAACCTCAGCTTTTGGTTTTATATTTCTGAGCTGCATATACATATACCAGCTTCAGGGCAATTGTGCACCACGTTTATACACACAAATGTCTGATACCTGTGACACCTTGCAATTGGGGTTGGAGCCCTCACTCAGCCTTTAAAGCTGGAGCCCAGCTGGGGGCTGCTGGGCCACTGTGCTGGTGCTGTGTGTGTGAGGGACAATCACCTTTTGCATGAAGTGAAATTACAGCTGATGAAACCTCCACCTGTGTATGATGTAGGTTAGAAGGAAATCTGGAATAGCTGGCATGTTACAGTGAACTACAGTTTGTGCTGTTGGGGTCCCAGGGATGGCTCGTTACTGCAAATGCTGTTTCTCTCTGGAAAACCTTTACTTGCAGTAAAGAGGCAAACTGTAGTGATTTGGCTGAATGCATAACATCCCAAAAGTAACTCTGCAGTCCCTAAAGACAAGGCTGTTTGAGTCAGCTTTTAGTGAGAAGAATACAAAGAATTTGATCCTTTAAAAATCTAGCTTAATTCATTGTCTAATTTTAGAGTACAGCTCCTCTACTACAGATCCTATCTGAGGGACAGCTCAGAATCACTGAAGCCAAGGCCAACATCCTATCCCATCCTGGTTTCACTAAATCAGATTTATTTCGTTCCTCCAGTGGATCTTGTTCTTCCACATACTTAATTGCTGTGTCCTTTCTGTTGTTTTCAGGATTATGAACATTTCTGCAGCAAGATTTGAAACAGCCAGATTCCAATTTAAGTCCAAGTCCCTAGGATTCACTTGTGATTTCCAGTAAGGCTTCTTTAAGGTATTTGTGATTAACATTATAATGTTATAAACATTTATTGTGGGTGTCTGAAACGCCATAGAAATTTTCTGCTGACCTTACAAAAACTTGTTACACTTCAGTACCCTTTGCTTATGATTTCCAAAACGACCTGTGTCCTGTAAAAGCAATTCTTCACAAAGATTTGAATGTGTTTTCCAGCACTTCCTGGGGGTGTCCTTGATCCAAGCTCTGGTTTGGTGTGTACGCATAAGAAGCTGAAAGACAAACTGATTGCTTTCTGCAGCTCACCTCCATTTTTCCTCTTGTGCTAATGGCCATAAAGCAGACAAGTAATTGAGAAATGGGAGCTGAAGACAAATTGAGAAATGGGAGCTGAAGACAGTGCTGTGTATGTATTTGTAAGAGCTAGTTGTCCTTCCTCCTCCTCTCCTCTTTACTCAGCTGTTAATGGATTTGGATCCGAAATGGAGAATTTTTGTCTGGCTGACAGCTGCCCTTGGCACTGCAGCTGCCACTGGCCCAGGGCTCCTGGCCCCGGACAGGCCACCTGTCCTGCTGTCCCTGCAGCAGCTGGCTCTGGGTGACCAGCCTGCTTTACTTAAAGGCTGATACATCCATGGGCTGTGACACAACAGACTGAGCAGCTGGAGGCTTTGGAGCCTGCAAAAAACAATGGAGTTGGGTTTTGTTGCATTTTGAGCTCTTTCTGGGGAAGGCAAAAGCAACACTGTCTTTCCTTATTCGTGTGGTCCTGATGTGCAGTAAGGAGAGTTGCAAAGCGCGATGGGAGCAGATGGTGTTTGTGCTGGTGACAGGGGTTGAAATGTTTCCTGTCATGGAAAAGATGAACAAGCCAGTTCCACATCACCTTTCTTTTCTGAGACCTGTGAGTACTGTCAGTTCCTGCTATTTTAATTCATGAGCTTGCTGCTCTGTGTGGTATTAACACCATGGCTGTGCGTGGTCCAGTGTCACTTTCCCAGGAGTGGATGAAGGGGGTGAGAGGACACAAGCTTCCTGGCACTCCCTCCTCCTGTCTCTTGCCCTTCACAGTTTGCTGTGTTGTGCCCTGCTCGAGCTAAAGCAGGGACAGGAGAGCACAGAGACCACGATGGTACCAGAGGAGGATGGCATAAAAGGACCTAAGGGAGAGGAAATTCAGATGCCCCAGGTAGAGAAGGCCAGGATGCCATGCTTGGTGCCAAAAGTCTTGCTTATAGCCGTGGTCAGCACCCTCTGCTGAGGAAAGAACAGACCTCCAGAAGTGTTCCCTGTCATGCCTGGCCACAGTAGTCCATACCTTGAGCAAGGAAAAAGCCATCCCTTCCTCCTGATGGATGGAGGAACCTTCCCCGTCCTGAAGAAACCCCCCCACGTGTGTCCCTTATAGGGGCACTGCAGGAGTCAAACTCCTGCTCAGGAAAGCTCCAAGGGAGGGTAGTGAAAGGCCAGAGCACCTGATGCAGCTCTGGGCTTTTGGAAGCTCATGTTACCAATCAGACACGATGTAAAAACCTCATTCTACTGGCAGAGGATGCTGTACTGATGGATGGAGTCTCTGTAAGGATGAAATAGTCAGCTAAATTGTGCTTCTGAAGGCCTTACACATGTGGAAAAGAGCAGCTATATTTGCTGAGACAACTAGTAGATGCAGAACCATCAGTCTCTGACCAGGAAGCACTGAAATACTAAATAGAAGAACTTGCAGGTTCTTTTTGAGGTTATATTTTCTTGCTACAATTGCAGGCAAAGAGGGCTGGATTTTTCTGGGCCATACCCCTGCAGTGGAGAGCCGTGGATGCATTTGCCATTGTTATGGGCAGTCAGTATCAGGGTTGGCTGAACAGCATCTTGTGTGGATGCACCAGGTATTTGTTTTGCTCACTAGCTTGGAGGACAAGATGCTGATTGCTCTTAAGGCTGTTCTTTTCACAGGTGTTCTGAAAGGGACAGTTGGACAGAATTCCCCTTTATTGAATCTGGGACACTTGGGTCTTATTGTCAAGGAGGGAAGATGGCCTAATTATCTGTACTGTAGTTGTTGCCCAAATCGATGGTGCATCTCTTGAGCCAACAGATACCCCTTGCAGCAGATGTTGGTGGATACAGAACCAGACTGCCTGGAGTTTCCTTTCCTTTTGCTCCCTTGGGAGCAGGGTCTTCTCCCTGCCACCCTTAGCCAGCACGAGCTGCTCTTTCATAGACTGATGGATCCTTAACCAGCACGGTGGCTCTGTGTCTACTCAGTTTGCCCTGTGTTATCCAGCTTGCCCAGCAGCGATGCAGTTTTCTACTGCTTGATACCTTGAAAGTCTCCTCAAGTACATGGGGCAGGTCCTTCAGGAAGAGAAGCAGTGATTCAGTGCTGGAGCTGGCAGAGCCCTCTCATTCTTTATATGAGAGCTTTTTCCTCTGTGTGTTTGTGCACTCTTGCATATCTCCTCTCCAGCATTTTATCTCCCTCTTCTCTTTAGTGCTTTATCTCACTTCTGCTCTTTAGTGCCCATTATCTCTTGTCAACTCTCTGGCTACAGAGTGGAGGACACTCTTTGGGGAAGTGCTGAGAATCCTCTGGCATCTTCAGGAGTGCTGCACATGTTTGTGATGAGTGTTTCGTGTGAATGTGCCTCTCTTACCGTGGCCGTATAATACACACATAATCTTGCTGCTGTAGGCTTCTGTAGAACACCCCAGCCTTTGGTTTTCCCGTCCCTGCCTGGGCTCTCTTTTGCAAGCAGCTGAAGGTGAGTAGCCTGGCTGCTGTCTGGCTGCATCCACCATCCTGATTAACTTTCCTCTTTCATTCATTAATGGGTGCATACCCACCTGTCTGGAAATCATTCTCCATCTCTGGTTGTGAGTGATACCTGTGTGTTTGGTTCATCTTCCACCTCATGGCCCTGATTCTCCTCCCATTCCTAAACAGTGTGGCTCTGCTGCACACAAGGAAATCACACCACAGGCTGGAGTGAGCCAGGAAGTCTCATCCCCAAGTGGCTTTATGCTCTTCAAAGATACCTGAAGGAACCAGAGAAGGTAGGTGGTGTCCAGAATATGCAAATGCAGATGTGTGACAAATGAACCAGTTGTCCATTTTTTGGTGAAATGAATAAAGCAGGTGTACCCAGACAGGCAGGGTACTGGTGAGGGACTTCCTTGGTGCCTTTGGCTGCAGGAAGCGTGTCTGCCAAACTGGGAGCCTGGTGGGCAGAGCCCAAACTCACGTTTGCCCCCAGTGCCACATTATTGCTTGTGGGCTCCTGCCCTCGGCCTGTGGTAACAGAAGATTTGTAGCTGGCAGGAAGGTAGCAAGAATGTGCTACTTAAACATAGGTTGCTGATGGCTGTGTTCCCAGTGCCCAGATGTGTGGCTGCTCTGGGATGCTGGGACCTCCCTCTCTGCTGCAGTAGACACTTCTATTATTAGCTTAGTGGCAGCTTTCCATATGCCAACACTCGTGACTGCAGGACTATTTAATTTTCACTTCTCTGAATTATTTAATTTGTCAGCTGTTGGCTGCTATTCATTAAGGACCAAATGCCAAAGTCCTTACCTAGATTTTTACTCTGTTAGGGCTGAGGCATGAATCCTGTCTGAACAGACCATTATATCTGGGCAGGATCGGAGGCAGGATAAGGTCTTGAATCTAGAAAGTCAGTCATTACTAGGCTAATCAGTAGAAAACCCTCATCTTCAGGGGTAGGTGTCTAATCTCCCTTCTTCTGGTAATTTCTGTTTGGAGAAATGAACCATCAGTTCTGCTAAAAGCACTGCCACTCCTCTTTTGGAGCTGGACTGTGCGGATGAGGTGCGCGGTTGCTGGTGCCTGGCTGCAGGTCCTGGCCCCTCTCTGGTGTGAAGAGCTGCTGCTGTGAGCAAATCACCCTGTGATTCACTGCTGGGGGCCTCTCTTTAATTATTGAGTGCCAGAATAGATGTATATTGAGTTACCTTGCTGGCAAATATCATCTCCAGCATCTCATGTAACTCTACAATATTCTTGGTTTTCCTACTTGCATAACATGGTCTTTTTCAAAGAATCTAAAATAAGTCAAAAGGTGGGTTTATATATTGCTTCTCTAGTGGTACATGTTTCCAGAGAACAACAGGTTGTACACTGGTTTTGAGGGCAGTCTTCCCTGGCAGCACGGATTGCTCTTCTATAAAGTCAAGTCTGCACTTGGATGTGCAGTGGGATGAAGCAGGATATGTACGGCGTGTTTTCAACCAATCAACCAAAGAAAACCAAAACCCAACCCCCAAAAAAACTCAGAAAAGGAGAGAGCAGCCTAATTTTGCTCTCACTGCTCTGAAGTATTCCATTTGTCAGCTGTTGTTGTGGAAGACTTGGCTGACCTGTCTTAAGGGCACTGCAGCCTGTGGTTCTGGACAGTGGTGCATGACCAGAAGGTTGCCTGCATCTGTGCAGGGCCATACTGGAGTCACTGGAAGGAGCACATGGAGGTGTGGGGGAAGAGAAAACCAGCATACATGTTTGCAATCTCTTCCAGCTTGCAGAGAGGCATATGGCTGCCAGAGTTCCCTCATCCCTCCTCTGTCTTGCTGTCACACACAGGCTGTGAGCAGCAGTTGAAAAATTGGCCTCGGATCCCTTGACCTTTAGTTCCCGTAAAATCCTCTGGATAATGTAGTCTAGAGTGCTCACAGACATGATACAACTTTTATATATATTCTTTCTAAGTATAGCAAGCAAAACTTGTCATTCCTTATTTTGCAAAAGAAAAAACCTCCTGAGTTTCATGTAATCCTGGTGACAGTTTACAAAAGAAAGGAAAAACATTACCCAGTGCCTAAATGGAAGGAAAGGCAATGCTGTGGTTGGCTGAACACTTTGTCGTTCACAGGTTTCAGGGAATTTCAGGTGGCAGGCAGGAGCCGTGAGCCCGAGGTCTGTCCCGACAGCAGACTGACAGAGTAACTTCAGCTGGGATCTGTGGCACTGCTGTGTCCCTGGCTGCCGAGAGCAGGGAAGGAGGGCTCCATCTACTGCTGTGCGGGGAGAAGGCAAAAATAACCAGGATGGCATTCCTCTGCTGCACAGAAAAGCTACTGGCTACCATGAACTCCAGGTACTTTTTTTTTTTTTCCTTCTCCCTGTGGCTTTCAGAGCCCTCCACTTCCAATCTAGTTCCCTGCCTGGGACACTGTACAACTCTGTAGCTGGAGACAATCCACACTTGGCCATCATGGCACAGCAGGCAGGGGGTTGGAGAAAGCGGCAGGAAAACAAAGTGACTTGTACATGCACAGAGAGAATTGAGAGCAGAACTGGAAACGAGTCCTGATTTCCAGTCTGTTTCTCTGACAGGATGGGGTTCATGCTCCAAAACGTGTAGAATGCAGAGAGTTCTTGGAGGGCTGCTGAAGCAGGGATGGGTTCTGGATAACACATAGTTCTGTGGCTTTTTGCTTGGTTTGCCACTGCTCTGTTTCTGAACTTCCTGTACGTGTACAGGCAGAGCTGTGTTTTCTCTGTACGTGAGTGTGCACAGGCGTTTCTGGGAGAACTGAGCCATGCACAAGCCATAGGTCTCTCTTCTCCAAGTTTGGGGATGCAGAGAGGGGTGGGAGCTCTGAACCCATGGCCGTGTGAGAGTTCTGCAAAGCATATTCAGACCTCGATATTTCCCACTAAAATCCCACCCTCTGCTCTGCAGGTTGTGCTGTAATAGTGGAGTGGGTTGTCCAAAGCAGCTGTGGCTGCCTCATCCCTGGAAGTGTTCGAGGCCAGGTTGGATGGGGCTTAGAGTAACCTGGCCTAGTGGAAGGTGTCCCCACTGATGGTTTGGGGTGGTGGACAAGAGGATTTTTAAGGATCTCTTCCAGCCCAAACCAGTCTGTGATTCCATATTGAAAACTGAGTATTTTCCCCTGCCCTTTATCCTTGGATTCAGCTGAATTAAGCCCCACTGTGCTGGGTGAGATACTGTTAAATATAGCTGGTATTGCCCAGGTTGAATAGCTCCTGAAGGACAATGTGTACAGTGTGGGTCTAGAAAAACAGATTTCAGGATTTAGAATATATGGAAAAGGTGCTAATGTTCCTCTGCTGGTAGTGAGAACACATTATTTGGTGCTTGCAAGGCACATCAGAAGTGTCTGGATCCTTAGGCTTCCGAAAAGCTTCACTGATAGTTCTGCACTGATGGCAGAAAGAGTTTGTGCTTATGGTACTTGACTGCGAGAGCTTGTCTCGAGTTATGTGAACAGATGTTTCGGATTTGAGTTCAGCCTGGCAGAAAAGGGAGAGCAGTCTAGTCCCCAGCATTTCCCATCTTTTGCCTGGGAAAAAAAAATCAGCAGTGATTTTCTTTTTTTTTTTTTTTTTTTTTACTGGATTTTACTTTACCATGAAACTGAAATGCAAACTCCTGGAAAGGAGGAGAGATTCACTTTTATTCAGCCCACTACTTCTAGTTCACACCTGTTTGCTCAGCTGCCTTTTACTTCTCCATGTTTTCACCTGTGGAGCTGCAGTTATCTCTGATAAACATCACAAGCCCCCCAAGTCCCCCTCTCAGAAGACATGGTCTGCTTTCCACATCTTGGTGTGTGTTACAGGCAGTTTTTCGTGTAGCAGCTGGTGTGCTGCAGCAAAAGGAACAGCAAAAGAAACTAAAGAAGTAAAATACTTCTCCTGACACAGCTGTCAACAATTACACTGTGTGAGGCTTCACTGGCAGAGGTTAGAGAGAAGCCCAGAGAAATCTGAAACAGCTTTCAAAAGAAAGCACTGAAAATATGTGTCAGAAACCAAGGAATAGATTGCAGATGGCAAATATACGTCTCCACGGACTGTCAGGGAAGAATTTGGTTTGACAATGGCTGTGATCTACCATGTTGCTGCTGGATCAGGCTGAGAGCAGCAATGTACAGAAATAATTAAGTCAGATAAGTGGGCCCCATACAGATTTTTTTTTTTTTTGAGAGTTCACCCATATATTCAGTGGACAGATCCCACAGACTGCTGGGAGGTAGAGGACCCCTCCACCCTTGCTGACACTGCTGTGTTGTGATGCTGACAATAGGCTGGCATCCTGTTGTCAGTAACCCCTAGGGACCTGTTTTAAGGCAGAAGATGTTGTTGTCACTCCCAGTCTGGGACAGGGCAGCGAAATGGTCTGTTGAGGCTGGAGAGCAGTGAGTGGTGACAGTGGAATGAATGACATGTTGAAAAGTGCCCTTGGCATGTCCCTGCAGAGCTGGAGAAGATCAGATCTGCCGTGAGCAGTTAATGAAGAGATAAAAAGCGAGGGGAGTGCTTGCACCCAGCACCGGGGACTGCGGGCACAGGCTGGCCCACCCCATCCCTAGGGGAATGAATCCTCTTGGTTGGGGTTTAGCCAGTGACCCTGGTGGCTGAGCTGCTGGCTGAACGTGGCCATGAACAGCTTCTCAGAGGCCATGAAATCTCTGGAACTGGAGGAAGCAGAACTGAACATCTGTGTGTGCTCCCTGGGACTACTGCAGCCAGGGTGGCAGAGCTGTCCCCATCCTCAGGCCAACCTGGCCTCAGCTGGGAGCTCTCTCGGCAGTGAAGGAGCACAGGAGTCAGTTGATTGTAGGCCTTTGTTTATGTGGCATCAGGGTTGTACTGTAGGCAGTCTGTGGAAGTTTGCTGTTGTTGCAGCAGTGTTTGTATCTTAGTCCCTCACCTTCCCAGGGCTTTCATCACTGTGCAATGTGAGGAGTAGCTTGCCTTTTCCTTGGTCACCCCTTTCTTTCACAAAGCATCTGCTGGATTCTCCCAAATTAATAATTTATTCAACACTCTCACACTGTGGCCTAAACCTTGCCCATGGTAATGCAGCCCACTAACAACAGCACGTTTGAATAAGGCTGAAAGTCCCCCAGGTCCTGGGAGAAGATTCTGGAATTGTCCCCATTGCTGTGCCTGGGGGAGAGCTCGAGGGTGGTAGGAGATGGGGATCCATGGGGCGCAGTGAGCACGTATGAAGTCGCATCTGAAATAGCTGAACTGTAATGTTTTCTCTTGAAAGAAGTGCTGAGAGAGGCCACAGATGCTTCCTTTCTGTGACTCAGAAACTTGCAAATCTTCTTTGATTCACACCTTATAAGTAAAATTAGCCTGTGCCTCACTGTTGCCAAACATTTTCAAAGCAAAGATACTTGTACAAAGGAATTCAGCAACAGAAATGGAATTTGCTCGTGGATCAGATTACTGTTATTTCTGACTGGGAGCAGCACCAGAAATACTTGCAAGGATTTCCACTTTGCCTTTGGAAAGGTGTGCATATTGTTGCTAGAAAAGTAGCTGTTTGGGAGGATAATTCACATATGTTAGGGGGCAGGGAGAGGGATGAGCCCCGTGAGGCCGCCGCAGTCGTGGGTACAAGTGTTCAGCTTCGCACTGTAACGTTCAGTCACTTTGGAACAGGGATCTTCAGCTGTTGCTGTCAGGAATGTTGTGATGTGAGCTGCAATTGCTGCTGCTCAGATGATGTTTCTAGTCCAAGGTATGAACTTTCACTCAGAGTGTGGTTCCTGATGCTGCTTGTCCCAGGATCTTGGCATCCCACAGAGCTGTCGGACATCTTCCTGCATGTGGGGACTCTGCAGACAGGACTTAATGAAAGGAAGGATTTTCTTGGCATTTAAATTTGTCACATCATTTGTCACACTGTTGGCTGTGATATTACCTTGAAACATGAACTTACCATCAGTTGGGAGCATTGACCAAAAAAATCTAGTATTTAAAATCCATGCTGGTCAGGGTCTACATTTTGCAGACAGCTGTAAGCAAAGCCTCAGTCCCCATGATGATGTTCTCCTTGAGGATGGAGCTTGATCCATCCATGGAGCTGGGCTTGAAGGCCAGTGGACCCAGGCAGCCCTCAGAGGAGGGTTTCAGGTCCCCAAACCTGTCTGCCCACTGGCAGCAACAGCAGAATGTCACAGTCCCCTCTGAATGCCAGGATGGAGCAGATGTCCCCAACATTGTCAGCTGCCTGGGGTAGGAAACGACAGCCGTGACCTGTGGGCTTGGAATTCAGAAACCTGATTGCTCATAGTCTACAGGGGGGAGGTTCAGAATAAAACCACAGTGCTCTGATCGTACCCCAAAACAGTGATATAAATGGTGGAAGGAACAGATGTCTGTAGTATAATATAGAGGTATGTAATGTATGTAGTATAATACATATAATAAAATGTCTGTAGCATAATATATATAATACACATTTCTATTCCTGGCAAACTGATAGTTTAAAGCAAATGAGTAAAAAAGGATTTTACTTAAGAAAAAATTAGGCATGTTACATTGGAAATAGGACTGGTTATATTACTTTACCCCAAAATAATATACTTGATATCTCTGGGCGTGAAGTGAAATTTTGCTAAGCAGTGATGCATTTTTGTGTTCATCTTGGCCATGTTTGTTCCTTCTGCTGAATGGACTGTGCACAGAGAAGTGTGTCTCCAAAGAGTGAATTTTTTGGCCCTTTGGAAATGTATGAACGGGACAGCACCATATGGGCTTGGCATGCCCCAGGGATGGCTGCGGGAGCCTGGGAACATTCCGTGCCTGCAGCAAGTGTAGGAAGAAGGAAGGAGGAGAGCGGAGCGAGCGGCTGCAGGGAGCTGTGTGGGGATGGCACTGAGCAGCAGGGCTGTACCAGCAGGGCCCAGCCATGACCACGTCTCCATCACAGCTGAGGTGAGAAACAGGCCTTGTACCATGCCCCTTCCTGCCTCATGGGTCACAGCAGAACTGGGAGATTCCTGTGAAGGGCCATGGGCAACGTCTGGAGCAGAGGCTGCAGATAAAATTGCTGGCCAGAGCAAAAACAAGGCAAGTGCTGAAGGAAGGGATGGAAGAGGGGCTGGGTTTGTAAGCTCAGTGCTGTCAGCAATCAGAGGCTTCGGTTGTGTGTGGAGGTGGGAGCATGCCATGGCTTTTCAAAATGTACCACCGTGAGGTGATGTATTATGGCTCAGAAACTCCAAATGTTGTACTGAACAATGAATTAAAAATGAAACCATAGAGCTCTTGCACAAACTGCAGGTGAGCATAGGGCAGGTGAGCACAGAGCAGGTGTGCTCATGACAGGCACACACCGAGTACGTGCACAGAGAGCCTGCAAGAGGTGCACGCAGCCATATCCTGCACAGTAAGTCTGCAGCATATTTCTCTGAGGCAGAGGCAGAGCAATTGTTGCTTCACTGCCCCGACTTGCAGCTGTAATGGCAGCACATTGGGTCTCTCATTCTGGATCTTAGAGAAAAACACCCTCAACTTGTAAATACCACATACAGTTAAATAGGGTGTGTTTTCTGGTGCCCTAAGTGTGTGGTGCATCTCAGGGAGGTCAAGGGAAAGGTTCACGTGCCTTTCAGCAGGTGTTGTTGCCCACCTTATGTTCTGATTCACTTGCAAGATGTGCTCATTAGAGGCTGGGCTTGTGTCCCACTCTGGCAACCTGAGCTGGTGTTGAGCATTTGATGCTTTCACTCCCTGACTTGTTAACGTAGGCATCTCCTTTTGCTCAGAACAGCAGCAGCACCTGCCTGACATCACTGACAGAGGTACCTGCACAAAGGACCAGGTAATGCCACACCACTGCCCCTCATGGTTTCTGAAGAGCTATGCCTTGTGTTCATGCACTGGTGATGGTTAGTGATGGTTCCTGTGCCCTGGCATTAAATGTCACTTCCCATTTTTGTGAAATGATACTGATTTGCAGGCACAAGATCTCTTCAGATCTGTGCCTACCCCAGTAACCGCTGCAGATAGCACAAGCCCTGGCAGAGGTGCCAGAATCCCCCTGTTTGCGAGGTATGCCAAGCTACCAGAGCTCCTGCTTGTGGAGCAGGAAGAAGCATGAATGGGAATGGATTGTAGAATTATTTCAGTCAAGAAAATTCAGGGATGTTAATTGCTGAACTGTCATCAATTTCAGTGACTGCAGAGCACAATTAGCCTCTAATTTTAGTTTCATGCTAATGCCATTGTCAGTTCTCTCTGTGCAGCAGGTGATGTGGTTTTAGATGTGGCTCTGCAACTGCTTTGTGCAGGGACTTGGTTCCTAGAACCTGGTTCCTAGATCCTGATACCCAGCAGGGGAATCGGGGCAGCATTTGGAAATGCTTTGAAAGGCGCTGGGGTTTTTATATGATTTGTTTTACTGCTGTCACACCATGACCCACACGGGCACCAGCACAGTTTTCCCTCAGCTGATGCCCCACTTGGCAAAAGATAAAGCTCAGCAGAGTCCTGTTGGGGCACGCTGGCTCAGAACTGAAGTGGGAGGCTGCTCATGGCAGGATGCTGTAGCCATGGGCTGCTCCAGTCCCACACCTGTGAGCAGCGAGGAGGGACTGAGGTGTCCCTCAGGCACTTGTCTCCTGTGGCTCTCTGCTGTGTGTCCCTGGGACATGCCAGGAAGGAGGGTCAGCTCTGTCCCACTGCTGCTGGCATGGTCCCAGTGCAGCTGGCTGCTCTCCTGGTGTGCTGTGCTGTGCTCCAGGCCCAGCCTGCTCAGAGCCACTGGCACTGCCAAGGGCAGGAATTCCCACTGCCACTATTTTGTGCATCCTTCTGCTCACAGGTGTCCCCGTGTTATCCCTCATGGATCTTGAACTGGTGTAAAAGTGGTGCCTAGTGGGGTAGCCTGGGCCCTCTGGAAACACCTGGGCACAGTTGAGTTTGGAGCACAGTGGGGAGGTTGGTTCTTTTCTGGAAATACCAAACACGTAGATGGGACTGTGTGGGAGTTGAATGCCAGCATTCCTGCCAGGAGCTCAGCACCTCCATCCATTGGACCCATGGGGTGGAAAAAAATGTCCATAGAACATAGAAGTTTATTTAAACATGTATTTGATGTTAGTGAGTGGACCCACAGCAGAGGTTTTCTGACTTTGAAGCCGGTTGCTGGCATAGAGCAGCTGAGCTTTATTTGCAGATAATTCTTCTCCAGTGCATTTGAAGGTGGGAACACAGTGACATGTTAGCTGTTGACATGGTCTGGGCTTCCCTGTTGCACTCTCAGCCATCCTGGAGGATGCACAGAGGCTGGAGGATGACAGGAATCCCATAACAGGTTTTCCACAAAGACAGCAGAACTTTGTGAAGCTTCAGAGATCTCCACTGGCTCATGCTGCTTCTGAGACGTCCAAGATGATGGTCACTTATAAGTCCTTACAGCTCCTTCTTGAAAGTCTGAAGGCTTTGTTTTCCAACAGAAAAATCTTTTCTGGCATTGTTTGTGCTGGAGTGACCTTCAAACTGCTGCTAAAAATTGACAGCAGAGTAGGTATGAAAGCCCTGTCAAGGAATGGATAATCTCCCATCTTTAAATACACTTTCTATTTATGTTGCCCAGGTACAGACTTCTCAGGATTTTGCCTGCTATCCCAGACTAACACTTCAGAAGTGCCACCAAGGAAACTTCTCTGCAAATCTCTTTCTATTTCAAAACTTCTTAACTGAATAATGTGAGTGGCCAGATACATTCCTGCCTGTTGAAGCTCACAATAGAAGAATGTTCAAAAGGAAAAGGAAAATATTTGGAAAGTATTTTTTTTACTATCACACAGACCTGGAAATTGTATCAACTGAGGAGATACACCAGTTGTTCCTTCAGCTACCTTTTTTGTGGTTAGTTTATTTTTCATGTTTATCAGAATGTTTCAGTTCATACCTGAGGCACCTCAATCTCTGCAAGTGTTGGGTTCCCCCAGGAGGGGCCAGAGGCTCTGTGTGCCCCCAGATTGGCCAGCAGACATCTGCCTTGTGTTAGGGGAAACATGATCTTCCTGCCAGCTCAGACCCATGGGTAAGGATGGGAACACTGTGAAAACCTCTGCTTAAACACACACAGAACCCAGTGTTTCAGGATAAATAAGCAAAATATACAAAGAAATAAGTTGCCTCCATTTTATCAGCAAAAACGATGAGCATTTTTCAGGAAAAAAATGATGTTGTTCCACACCCTTTTGTAGAAGCTGCTGGGGATGCTGGATTGGTCTCTACCCATGGGGTCAGCCACCGGGCTCCAGGCCACAAAGGGATGGTGGAGACTGCCTTGGCTTTACCATCTGACTCCAGATCTGGCTTCTGGATTTCTCTGCCAGTGCAATCACCAGGGCCTGGCTGGAGTTAATTGAATTAAATGGGACACTTGCCAGGGACACCAGTTATCTCTTGCAGTCATTAGCACAAGAACAGTGTAAGGATTAGCTCTTGTTTGCTGTCTCAGGTGATAGTGGCAATATACCAGCTGACAAGTTAAGGTCTTGTCAGCAGCAGCACGTTCTGGAAGAGGCAGGAGCTTCTCTGGCTGATAACACACATATCAGTGTTTTAAAATGCAAGTATTCCTCACTTCAGATAGTTTAATGAGTTTCATTTCTTCTCTCTTTTCAGCTGGCAACCTGCCCTGCAATTTCCAGGGACAGCAAACCTGTGAGACAGATGCACTCACTGTGTGACTGAGGATGCTCTCCAGCCCTGCTGTGCCAGCCCTGGGAGCGGGGCCGTGTGTGGGGTGAGTGACACGGGGGAGTCACCACACCGGGGTGTCACTGGTGTCACATCAACTCTGCAGTGGGAGAGGGAGGAGCTGGACTTTTGGATTCTGAAGGATATTGCTCTGATAAATAATGAACAGATTTAGCTACTGCAGGAAAGTGTGGGGATTTGTGGTTTGCTGTTTTGGATGAGAAGTCCTGGTCTTGAAGGTCTGTACGATTACTGAGGAAGCAATGGGCACGTGCCCGTGTCCCACCCACAGCAGTGCCCATGTCCTGTCTGCAGTGGTGCCCATGCCCATATCCCATCTGTGGCAGTGCCCACATCCCATGTCCCACTTGAAGCCGTGCCTGCTCTTGGTGGGCCACATGAAGTGCTGCTGCTTTCTGGGACTGGGGAGCAGTAATGAACAAATAGAACTGATGATGAAGTGCTGGGGAGCCCTAATGAACAAATAGAACTGATGATGAAGCGCTTCATGACCTGCTGAGCTCAGACATCTCCCCTGCCCAGGGTGTATGGGGTGGGGATTGCAGCCACTGTACAGGGGGGCTGGTAAGTTCCTCGGGAGCAGAGCAGCTGTCCCTGCAGCCAGAGTAGTCTCTGGCCCTGCCAGATGTCACCACATGAAGGCTCTGAGTGAGTCTCACCCTGTGCCCAGCTGACAGAGAGGTCCTGCCAGAGCCAGAGGAACTGTGGCTGGTCTGGACTGGACTGGGTCCACAGTGGGTGAGAACAGCTGGAGCAGTTCCACAGCAAAGCTCAATCTTCTGGCTTTTTGGCTTCTTCATGGATTCATTCTCCCATGACCCACTTGTTATGGGCAGGCTCTGTGGTGACCCCTCCACACTCTGAGTGCTGGCAAAGGCCCTTTACTTGGGACAGTAATTTTAAATTCTCTTTGAGGGGCCTTAAAAAGTGCTGAACTTTCAAATTAAATTCTTGTGATTGAATATTTATTGTTGAACTCAGCATGAAATGTAGAACAAAGCCTAAATCTAGGAGGGATGCTCTGGACCTTGGCGCAAATGCTGACAGCATTTTTGATATGTACTGTATTTTAGTGGTGAATGCTTAAAATTATTCTGGTGTTTTGTGTCCTCAGCTGTTTCTCTCTCTACTGTGGTTAGCCTTAGAGTCTGCACTGGAATGAGTAACACATTAGTACAGGGATTTTGTGGCAGTGCCGTGGAGTCAGAGCCCCGTTACGGCCCTGCCGTACGTCAGCAGAACGGCTGACGAGTTCCTTGGTGCTCACACGACTGTAACAGGGTCCACTGTCACCTGGGTGGAGCCTGCCTGTCCGAGATCACCAATCTGAGCCTGTTCTGTCGTTGGAAAATTGTTCATTCTCGTGGATACGTCAGAATTAATGTTGTGTGGCGGTGGGAGCGCGGTTCAGTGCAGGGTCAGCGCGGTGCTGACGGGCAGTCTGGGGCTGCCAGCCATGACCTTGGCCCAGCCTGCTGGGGCCAGTGCCAGTGCCGAGGCACAGCTGTTAATAGCTCCTATACTCTGCAGTAGTATCAAGCAATGTCAATATTCAGGACTTGGGCAAATCCAAAACCCCACAAAATGCCTTTTGTATTGTTTGACAAAATCACATTAGTGTTTCTTTCATGTAAAATATCCACAGGGTTTTGCTGCTTCCAAAGACAAACGCATTCCAAGTGGTAACTGCAGTAACTAGTAAATAGAATTATAACTGCTACTGACAGAAAAAACGCTGTAATGATATAATACAAGAAATAGCCTTCATTAGTGTCAAAATGAGGCAGATGTGAAACATTATGCTGATATTTCCTCAGGGGTAGCACTTAAGTAGTTCTTTGCTTGCAGAAAGGGATCACAAAAGGTTTGGATCAGAGTAAGTCAGCCGAAGTTTATCAGAGTTGAGAAATACAGCACAGAGAGAGCCTTCAAAAGGTGCTCTTTGTCCCCGGGCCCTTCAGTGTCCTGAGGGGACGCTGAAACATGAGCTGCTGGTACTAAGGGAAAAGCAAGAATGTTCAGCTGGGGGTGTTAGAGGAGAGGCACGTACCCCACCACCCCTGTGTGATGGGCACAGCTGGAGGCCCCAGGTTTTGCAGTGCAAGAGGATGTCAAGGCACTTCCCATACTTGTACAGAAGTATCCCATAAAGGGGCTCTGTTCCCAGCTGCCTGCTTTGCCTGGGGAGCACAGCTCAGAGGTGGTTCCTTATGCTGTCACACTGAGCTGCTCATGTTGGCAGATTCTTTTCTAAGGGGAGGTGTCAGATTGTCTAGCCAGCTGAAGGAATCCAGTTGGCAGGAGAGTGACTTAATAAGTCACTGAGAATTTTAAAAACACTGTGGTTCTTTGTTTAACAGCCAGATTCTACAAAATTAGCGCCAGCTCTGAGATGATTTCTCTCATCACTCTCCCTGTTGTGTCCCCTTCTGTTCTGCATGTCTCTGCCTGCCCTCACTACCCTGTGTTGTCTGGTACAGATGGGTGCTGGGGTCATTGCCCATCCCCTGCAGGGATCATGCCAAGGTCCCTGTGTGCCCATGAGAGCCCAAGACCAGGTGGCCGAGGAGGATGAGCATCCTGGTGCCCGGTGCTCCTGCCCACTGTGTGTGCTCCTGCAGAGAGTCCCTTCTTCTGGGAGGGAGAGTCTGAAATGACCCCCTGTGGGAATGTGGGACTCGTGTGGGCAGGTGGCAGAGGTCTGTCTGCTTATGGACACAGCCAGGCAGGGAGAGCCCACATCCCCCCCAGCGCCCTGCAGACCTACCCAGGGCAGTTTTGGAAAGGGATGAGTTCAGCCACCAGGAAACAAGGAGCTTTGGCCACTTGTCACTGTCACACTCAAGCACTGGGGACTTCTAAGTCCAGTGGGAGTTTAAAACACTCAGGACCTGCAAACACCTTGGCAAGGAAAGAGGAACTCTCTGTACTGTAGCCCTAAACCTACTCCACAGCTGCTCCTTGCTCCCAGGAAAGTGCCTTTTCCTTGATTTTTTTTTTTTCTGGTCTCTTTTTTTCCTTTTCCTCTCTGTTGAGATGGATGAAGACAGGAGCTGACTGCTTGTGCTGCTGCCTGTCCCTGGTAGGGGTAGGGTGACTCTTCCACTGCTCAGAGGTGCTACTGAACCTTTTCTCTCTGCCTCTGCAGGATGCTGTTCCCCTGTGCACTGACCAGGGCTGAGTTTGGGCATTTCACATCCCCCCCAACCCTGAAGTGTTTTTCCAAAGATATTTCTTCCCTTCTCCTCACCTGTGCTCCTCTTCATACCTTTCCAACTTTAAGAAAAGCATCCCTAATGGTTAGTGGACACCTCTATAGTGGGGAACATCACTTTGATCTGTGTTAGTGACACCACAGGGTTTGCTCCCAGCATGTCCTGCAAGGAGCAAACCCTGAGTCAGCCCCAGATCTCCCAGCAATCTCCCTCCACTGGCTTTCCTTCCCGTGGTGTGTGTCAGACACCAGTGGGGCAACACCATTCCAGGAGGGACCCTCTCATGGCCGGCAGCTCCCGCAGCCCTCGGGGCCGAGCTGCCCACAAGGTGCTGTTGGGGGAGTGTCCCAGGGGTGCTCTGGGGAAGGTGGGGAGCCCCCCCTGCTCCTTGGGAGGTGAGGTGGCTCCGTGGTACCACGAGGATGGCTCTGTCCGAGTCTGGCAGAGAGGCTGCTGTGGTTTGGCTCTGTCATCCACAAACCCATTGGTTTCTTTTTCAAATGTACCTTCATAACCTCAAGCAACCCCAGATGTGACTGAAATTCTAGGCAAAGTGCACTACAAATGTTACCCCTTCCCTTCTTTTCTACTTTCTGCCATTTGATTTATTATTTTCTTTCCCTTTCAGGTCTGCTGTTTTCTGGTTGGAGTGCTTTTTATAGCCTGTATTATAAGGAAACCCACACGTGGGGAAAGGAAGAAGGAATTAAATGGAAAACAAACCACAGGCCCAGCCGTTAATCCTTCTGGGGAAAGCAGGGCCTGGGCTGCATTCTTCAGCAGCCAGCCCACTGTGGGACACACCAGGTGAGAGTTGTCAGCAGGTACTAAAACAAAGAGGGAGCAAAGATTAAATGGGGACTTGATGGGCTCAATATAGACAATTCTACCCCTCTGCAGTGACTTCCAGAAATGGGGGGGATTCTGCAGCCAGTGTGATTTGGCCAATACCCAAAATATACCACAGAGATTTGACAGTAGGGATTGCAGATAGAAAATGTAGCATTCTCTGGCACAGCTGTCATATTATACTAAGCCCATTACTTCCCTTTAATCCTAATTAATACTCTCTCTTTCCAGTCTGAGCTGAGTCTCTGGTCAGCCATCATTGTGGGGGATCTGCTGCTGCTCTCCCTCTGGAGCCTGTTCCTTTGTGCTCTTTCCATGAGGAGCAGCCAAAATCATGAGTTAGACGTTGCTGATACTAAAGAGGACTCCTGGCATCTGCCCCGAATGGAGAAATCAACGTGTCATTCATTAAAGATATCCCTGCTTGTACAGGGAACGCGTGTTTGCCAGATGGTGCCAGTTCAGGATTCCCAGAGGTCCATCCCTGCTGAATGCCAGAGCCACCCCAGTCCCAGAGTCCCCCAAGGGTCCTCACTCCTCTCCCTGCAGCCTGGCAGAGATGCCCCTGGACTTCTCCCAGCTGAGGCTGTGTTGTGACCCCAGACTGCCAAGGAAAGTACAAAATTGATGTATCTTGGGGGAGGGAGGGAGGGGTGTGGGCTGAGATCTGGTGTCTTGAGACCATTCTTTAGTGCTGATCCAGACTGTCTTATTCCCAGCACTTTTCAAATTGTGTTATTTCCTACAGTTTGCAACTACACACAGTAGTCAGAGGTTATGACATGTAGCTGACTTTAAAGGACACTGTCTGTAACAAGTGCTATGTATGTATTCTATAAATGTTGTTATACCCTGTATTTTATAGCTTTAGACTGCAATAAAAAGGGACAAACTATGTGCTTGTAGTGTGAATGGAATGGTTTGGTCTGTGTTTTTTTCTAATTACAGAATTTCATATTTATTCAAAATAGATCTCCGTGTGCAGGTTATGAAGTGTTTCCTTCCAAACACAAGATACTTGCAGTTCGAGTGGATCTTGACTTGCATCAAGGAATCAAAGCAGGCACAAGGAGAAGCAAGTACAGTATGTCAGACAGAGGGTCTTTAACTGTGCAGAGAGGAGCAGCACATCAGAAAGTGTCGTTATTTCTGTTCCTCTGTGGTTGCTGCTGGGCACAGTGAGCCCGGAGCAGGGAGTGGGGCTGTGTGGGGCTGGGGAGCTCCAGGGCAGCCCCCAGGCTCGTGTGCTGCCGTGCTGGAGGAGTGGTGGGAGGATGAGGGGGCCACATCCCAGAGCCCCCCCGGGGATGGAGCCCGCAGGGATTTGTGTCCAGCAGGGCAGGGCACCGTGGGACGCCCCGCTGAGCTCTTGGTGGGCAGTGCTGGCACCAGGCACAGCGCTGGGCTCTGCTGAGGGTGCAGCTCTGGGGATTGGCACAGGTGCACCAGCATTGCACAACAATCTCTTTCTCAAATAGATCTGTCACTTTTTATATTTTCCTTAATTAAAATTCCAGCTCCTTACGCCTCTCTGCACGTGTGTCTGACCACAGCCCTGTCAGTCTGAGGCTGTGCTGTGGCTGTGTGGCAGCCCTGGGATGCTCCTGCAGCCTCAGAACAGAACCCTGTGCAGGCAAACTTGAAAGAAACTGGGCAGCATCTGGAGCAGCAGTAAGGAATCTGGCACTGGGAACTCACCACACTGTTATTGACTGGTCTCCACTCCCAAGAGGACAAACCAGGGCCTTGTTTGCCAGGTTTGCATTTGAAAAAAGCCTCTGCTTTAATTAACAGACAACCTAAGTGTCATTGTTCTGTTCTCCATTCTGGGTTGTTTTTCAGAAAAGAATAGTTTCTGAAATTTAAAAATCTCCTAAAATAGAAATTTTATCTGGAGAAGTCCCTCTGTGATTCCGTTCCTAGTGTAAACCAAATTTATTTACTTCTCTAGTTGAAATTGCATTATTAAAGAAGAACATAAAGTATATTTACTATTGTTTGATGTTCTTTGTTTAGTTTTGAATGAAAGTTGGGATTATGTGACCATCTTGTGGCTGTAACACTTGTCAGTTCATTTAAATTAATATTTTAGTTTCTTGTTTATTATCACAAAGTTTATTGGTTTGTTAGAAGTAATACCCAAGTTTATGATGCTGGAAAGGGAAAGCTGCAGCTCATCTGGAACACTTGGCATTGGAGAAACACACCGGGAGCAACCACAGACAGGCAAGTTCAGCACTCCAGAGGTCTGTCTGTGTGTCTCATGATTTTCAAGTTGTTTTTCATATCCTGATGCAAGTGAAAAGTCAGGGGTTTTTTTTTGGAAAAGTGCATATTTTGGAAACCTCAACCATTCCCAGGCCAAGGGTGAGCAATACAAACCTTGCACAAGCAGGTGATGTGGAGATGGGTGTCTTGGAAAGAAAACATCAAAGGAATCATGAGAGATTTGGGGCGGGTGATCCATGGGGACAGGGAGTTGGAGGCTTGTACAAAGCCACCTTATTCTTTGCCCAGAGCCAGTGGGCTTCAGGTCATGGAGAAAGTAGCTGGAAAAATTACACAGAAATATTTGACCTTCCTAAAGGCCTCTAAGACACAATTACCTGATGTTCACTGAAGTGGTTCACATGGTTCCCACTCTAAATGATTTTCTAGGTTCACCCATGTGTGAAAAAGGGTCTGATTATATTGGAGGAGAGCAATGGAGGAAAGAACTTCGGGAAGGAGAGAATTATACCAGGGAATTTTACTGATTGTGTTTGCTTCAAGGGAAGGAAAGGGCAAATAGATACAGCCAACTCAAAGTAGCTGAGTTTCTTTTGACTTTGAATTTCAAAAGAAACATAAGAGAGCTCTGAGGTGTTGACAGCACTCAACAGAAGCTGTTCCATGGAGTTAGGTAGGAAATGTAGCATCCAGCATAGTTCACTTTCTTAGACAGATGACAAATTCGTTTTTCCCCCCTGTACAACAAAACTGTAACAAACCCCCTTTGTCCCAGTGCCTTTTCTTTCCCTCTGCCCTGTGTTGCCAGGCACAGGACATCCCTTGCCTGTGGAGCCAGCAGTGCTCACGCCAGGGGCTGGCTGTGCCCTTGCTGCGGAGCTTCAGCTCAGCCCTGGACCAAAGCAAGTGAGTTATCCGGGGCTGCATTCTTTAGTGGGCTTCAGGCAAAATATTTTTCTAAGGAAATTAATTCCGTGGTTGGCACAGAAGTGCCTCTACTGTGCAGTTTTCCAGTGGCAGGTGTGCCCAGGTGCACACAGCTGTCTGGCTTCAGTAGTAAATTCCTGTGTTCATCTTGGTCTACACCAGTGCCCAGAGCTCTGCCAAGTTGCCAGGGGCTTGCTGGGGCCATGGATGGGCACCTCAGCTGCCTGACATCTCTGCCTTCCTGCTGCTTGTTGCCAGCTGATCCCAGAGGAGCTGGCATGAGGCACCGGGAGCGCGGCCTCGCGGAATTGCACTCCCCACATTCCAGGGCCTCGTGCTGAGGAGCTAAACTGTGGCAGAGAGACTGGAAGATTTGAGAGTTTTCTCCCAGAGCCCATGTTTAACTCTCCGTGGCCCTGTTTGGGAATGGGCTGTAGTCAGTACATACCTTTAGCTTTAACTTGCACTTCATCAGTCTGGGAGGAAGAATGGAAGAAATGTTCTGAGAGCAAGTTCCGTGTATGTCTTCTGCCACCTGCTAATGGTGCATGTGAGCCGCTGCGTGCCAGGAGCCGAGGGCAAAGATAATATCATTGCTGGGGAGAAAATTGCACTGTGCTGAAAAGGAGACGCGTGTTCCAGATGACCCGATAGCTCAGCACCCACTGGGGCCGGGCCTGGGGCCGGGCTCTGCTCACTGACGCTCTCACGGACACATTCAGTGTGATGGAATCCCAGAAATTAAATTATTTAGGGTGGGCAGAAGGACAAAAGCTGAAGAACTTCTATTCACATCCATCCCTGAATCAGGCTTTGCTACATCTGCCTCCAGCCTAATTACTATGGGCAAGGACAAGGGAGGCTGACGGGTGGGAACAACTGTCCCTGGTAAAGCTGCTGGTCTGAAAACTGACATAATGGCACAGTAGATGTGGTGGCAGCTCTTTGAAAGTAAACATCCATTTACAGCAGGATCATACAAATCTTTGAGGCATTCAGCAGCAAGGTCCCTGTGGCTTTTCACCCTTGTGTTGCCTGGAGTTATTGCTCAATGAGGGAGTTCATGGCATTACCAGAGAGGTAATTGTGAGCAGCTATTTAAATAACCCTAATTATGTTTAGAGACTGGCTTTCAGGCCAGTCCCTGAAAGCAGCTAGGATCTGTGAATGAACATATTGCCACAGATGACCACCTGATCTATGCATATGGACCTAAAAAAAGCCACTTTGCTAAGTTTAAATAGCTCAGTAAAGCAGAGCAGACACCAGACGCCAGCACGGCCGTGCCTGCCCCGAGCACGCTGCCCAAAGCAGCATCCCAGGGGCTCTGGGGGGAGTGTGGGTCGGGCACCCTGGCACCGTGGTGACCACAGCATGGTCAGCTAGCCCATGGTGTGCTCCTGGGGGACCAGGGCCTTAAAAAATATAGCCTTTAAATACCCCATGGACAGAGAAGGGTGAAGGGACCGGGCCCCCTGAACAGGGGTTGGAGAAACCCAGAGGCTTACCTTGCTTAATCCTTTGGCAAACATGCTCAGTGCCTGCTGAGTCCCGTGCCCAATCCAGCCTGTGTCAGCACTGCCCTGCAGCTGGCCCAGAGCTCCAGGGGATGGAGGGCACCTGCTGCCCTCCTGGGGGACAGTGGGGTTCCAGCTTGGCCGCGGCCCTGTGCAGTCAGAGTTTTTGAAGGAGACAGTCCATGAGTCCATGACAGAGAGGACAAACGTGAAACTGTTGAACATATTCAGCCCTTCAGCGTGAGGGTTGAAGAGTTCACAGTGACAGCTGAGATAAGGCCAGGCCTGGTGATGGGCCCCAAGCCCTCCCTGCTCCACTGGCCTCCTCCTCCTGCTGCAGCGAGCACCCAGCTGCCTCAGTGACCACGTCTGGCTTCAGCGTGACTTAACTGCACAGAGTTATTATATCTTATGACATGGAAATGGGTCAGAAATAAACTTGCCTTTCTGTATTAACCTGGTGGTTCTCTGAACAGCAAGAAAAAAATTCCTTAATATACATGGTGGTCAGTCATGTTTTTTTTCTCTTTGTTCTCTTTTGATCACTGCTTTCGGCACTCCTCGTTCCTGGCCACAGGAGGAGGTGAGCACTGAGGGCACCTAGTCCTGCTGGTAGTGAAGGAGATGCTGATGGGGAGGTGCCACCTCCACTGCAGCTCCTCTGGGCAGGTGAGGGACTCCTGGCACTGCCCTGTTCAGGACAGGCTCACCTGTGCACAGCTCCCACCTGTTCTGGGTGGCACCAGCTGCCATCACCCCGGGTCTCTAGAACCCCCTGCCCCAGCAGGTGCCAGCTCCTGCAGGATGTCTCCATGCCAAAGGTCCTCCTAACCCACCTCAGTGTTTCACTGCATTGTTCCCTCGGTATCATGGTGGTGGTGTCTGGATTCTGGCTCACTCTGGGAGCAGTAGAGTGATGGGGAACATATCTGGGTGGCAACTCTAGGAGCTGTGACAGCACAGTGAGGTTAAGGGCATTTTCCAAGGAAAAGGCTCTCTGGAGGAGGATTGCTGTCAATGCTTGTACTGCCATAAGCAACACCTCCAGGCACCATAGGCAAACCTTTTGGTAGCAAATTTTTAAAGAGATTTTAAAGGAGATTTCACAGAATTGTTGTAGGGGGATTATGGAATTACAATTAGGATAACTTAAAAAAAAAATACAGATGGAAGGGAAAAACATTATATCCATTCAAATAATAATAAGGTGGGAATGAGAATAGAGGCCAGTTTTAGAGAGATGAGTAACATGTACCAGAGAACTTGTCACAAGTCCTCTGGACAGTCAGGGTTTGTTGGAGTGTTCAGTCGTGGCAGCCCCTGCCGTGGGCTGTGGCAGCAGACCAGGCTGGTTCCAGGGGCTTGAGGAGCTGTGCTGGTCTGTGTCACACAGGTGCCACTCGTGGCTCAGAGGCTTTCAGAGGCTTTTTAGTTGATGCTTACAGATTGAAGGAAAACCAGCATCACCTCAGGCTATAGGGAGAAAAATTCCATTGAACCACATTTCCTCTTTGCTAGACGAACCCAAGAGAGATGACTCGCTCCAAAATGTGAGGGTTCTCCTGACACTTTCCAAACAATCACTGCATTTCATGCCTGAATGCCAATCAGCAAATTTCCAGTACGATATGTAAACAAATATAAATCAAAATGTCTGCTATTTCCTTTGCACTCCCCAGAGGCACTGGACAGAGCCCTGTGTACGCGGAGGACAGTCCCAGGGGACTGTCACAGCTGAGACCGATGTGTTGGACAGAGCTGAGGGACACAGCACACCTGAACAGTGACACCTGTGAAGGTGCAGGCAGGAGCCCTTTGTGCTCAGGCATCACTGCCCAAACAAGGACACTGATCAGCAGGACTGTCCTGATGCTGTTCCTGAGACCAGAGCTAGTCAGAGGTAGCACATGGCACGGATCTGTCTCGTGCCTGTTTACACAGGCTATCAAACCATGAGCATCCAGGATCCCTCAGAGCAGTGGCTCTAAATATCCACAACAAACAGCACATCCCTCTCTCACAGACGTGTTTTGGAACACTCATCCAGACTTTCAGAAAGGAGCAACAATTATCAGAGAGGTGCAGCAAGCAAAATTAAAAAAAAAACAGCCAGGGTGGAAGGGCCCCAGACTACCTGAATCTCCAGCTGTGGGTCAGAGATTTGTCATGCTCTTAATAGCAATACAATTCCAGCTACATTCCTGCTGACAGAAGGCCTGGAGACTGGATATGTTCCAATGGCTGTGTACTTACAGAGTGGGTCCTGGGGGAGCAACTGTAGAGGTGGGAAAGAGCTGGATCTCTCTAACATGCTTCTTCCCTCTTCGTGCACAGTCTGAATCCAACCCAGAGACATTTTTTACTGTCTGATCTTCACTGGGTCCCTACTGGAGATCGGTCTTTTGTTTCTTCCCAGGCTTCTCTGTAAGAAGTGTGCAGCCAGTAACTGGGATACAGGACTGCTGCTGGCAGTCCCTGTGCTGAAGAGGTGCAGGCAGAGGCCGGGCTGTTCCCAGCGACTCGTGAGGGATGGTGTTCAGTGCCTCAAGAAATTTGTCACAGTGCACTCGTGTGATGAGTTGTGTGCAGGGGTGGACTGAACTGCACGCCCACAGCTCTGGTGACCACAGCCTGCCTTCCATATCCCTGCCTTGCAGCTGCTGGCCCAAAGCAAGAGCAGACGGGTGGGACACACAGCAGTGTCTGAACAGCTGCCCCTGGGCGTGTGATGTAACAGCCCACACGGCATCATCTATAGCTGTTCAGTTCCAGACATTAAAGACAATTTGCTGTTGCACTGCCCTGCCCTCTGCTTTGCTTGGGGCTGGCACATTGCCTCGCAGTCAGCTCTGACTCCTGCAGCACACTGGGCAGTGCCAGTGAGGGTCAGTGCCAGTGATGGTCAGTGCCAGTG